TATATATATATATATATATATACATACACATACGATTTAAGTAGGGAAGGTAATACTCTAAATTTTGTGTTGTTATTTCTCCTGCATTTACTTTTGATAGTCTTTTAAATATTATTGTATAGACTTTTCAAAGAACAGCTTTTAAAGCCCTATATTATTGGTAAAGAAGTGAATGAAACCTTAGACTTCCTTGTAAGAATGTTTTTCTGTTCAAATAAGATATCTTTTATGCATAAATAAGACTCAGTCATTCTTGGAGAGTTTAAGGATATGTGTGTATGTATATGCGTGGATAGTGACAGGAAATCATGACACTGATTGACCGTTTAGTTTCTTTGTATGTCTTTCTCTGATAGGTAAAATTGCTTAAAATTACTTATGGTCTATTTATGATCTATAATTGAAGCAAAATCTTTTACCAATGTCTCTTCTTTATGAAAATTTTCCTCACTTTTACATAAAGATTAATAATAAATCTTAGAAGATGGATTCAAGAGTGCAGGATATATGATGAGCATCTGAATCCATTCTAGTCTAATAGTAAATACTTGGTTCCAAGTTACACATAATAATGGTTCCAGAACAAACCATTTCATACTTCCTCTTCAGCTTTTACCCTGTTCAGACTAATGTGGCTATTCCATTAAAACTTTACCTCTGTAAAAGGTTACAAGCATTTTTATGCCCAAGTCATGTTTTCAGTTTTTTTTTTTTTTTTAAATTATTCCACCATACCCATATCCTCATGCATACTTCAGTGTAAACATACAATTAGAGTTGGGCTTAAATAAGTGCTGAATTTGAAAAGAATATCAAGAACTGCAAAATGGAGAAAAATTTGTACTATAGTGGTTAAGAGCTTGGCTGCTAATGGAAGGGTTGGCAGTTCAAATCCACCAGCCACTCCTTGAAAACCCTATGGGGCAGTTCTACTCTGTCCTGTAGAGTGGCTATGAGTCGGAACCGACTCGACGGCACCTAACACAGCAACAACATAGGTATATAGAAGAATTTGCCCAGATTCTCCATTTTCTATGACTGTGTAATAAAATGAGGCAAAATAATTACTTAGATATTAATAGATTTAATTCCTATAAACAGACACATTGGATAAACTACATTTATCATTAGGTTTTTTTTTTTTTTAATCTATTAGCAGTGTTAGGACTTTATATACAAAACAGATATATTTTTAAAATAAATTTATCCAAAATACATCTGAGCTTTAAAACTTCTAATATGTTAATGTGCCACTTGTTAATTATTATCTAAAAGCACTGTTCCTAGCCACTGACCAGGAGTCTCTGAGTGACACAAATGTTAAGCAGTTGACTACTAGCCAAAAGGTTGGCAATTCAAACCCACCCAGAGATGCCTTGGAAGATAGGCTTGGTGATCTGCTTCCAAAAAGATCACAGCCTTGAAAACCCTATGAAGCACTTCTGCTCTGCACACATGGGATCGCCGTGGGTTGGAATCGACTCCTCGGCAGCTAACAGCAACAACAGCACAGCCATTCACCAAGCTCTTTAAGTTTGGCATTAACATTAATTGTGCGCTTGATAGTTTTAACAGGTTGGTGAAATGGAAAAAAAAAGTTGGTTCTATTGTGAGATTTGAGGAAAGAGGAGTGACTGGAGATGGAAGATGAGTTAAATCAGTAGGAAATAATGAGGACCTGTAAAACACCATGGCACTGAGAATGGAGAAGACAGAATAAATTAGAATCACATTTGGTGTGAAAAGTTAGAGGATTTGTGATGTATTAACCTTCCCTAGCATCGAATACAAGGAGCCCTGTTGTTGTAGTAGGTATTTAGTATTCCTTCTTTTTAAAATGAAATAGAATTGAAGTGGATATGGGATAAAGGAAAAAACAAAGTAGTCGGATGAAAGTTTATATGAATGTTACTGGCCAAGAAAGGGAATGCTGGAGGAGTGCTGGATTGGAGAGAAAGACGAAGAGAATGATTTTGACATAGTAAATGTGAGGTATCTGAAGAAATAAGATATTTAGTTAGCATTTAGGATATATAGCTCTGAAACTAGGAAAGAATTTGTCTGCAAACAAGTGCTTTTAGAGTCATTAATATAGGTGACTGTTTATGAAATTGTGGAAGTTGTTGGTTGATGACTCAAAAGTGAGAATAAGGTTGAAAATGGAACGTCATCTACATTTAAGAAGCTAGCAGTCTCACCCATCTGTTCTTCATCCTTATTGAAGCTTTCTGTTTCTTGTTCTATTTTTCTTTATTTGTTAACACCTTTCTGTTTTACTTTGCTTCCTATTGAAACTGCATGGCCCATGTTGACTTTGATCACTTGATCAAGGGGCAGCCTGTCAGTTTTGTCCACTAAAGTTACTATTTTCCCCTTGGCAATTAATAAGGAATTTGTGAGCTGGTATTTTGAGACTATGTAAATATCCTGTTCCTCATCACAATTTTACCCATTAGTTTTAGTAACCCATGCCTTCATTCTTATTTTGTTTCATGTTACATTTTTTGGTCAAAAATGAACAAATTATTAAAAATCCTGCTATTCAAAAGCCACATTTTTAATTAATTCTGTTTTTAATTCTTCTATATGAGACATTTTTTGATGCAGAGCTCCTTAGTGCCTTCTAATCACATTTCCTCACCGATAGTTTGAACCCCTTGCACCATTCCTACGACAAAGTTCCTAACATCAAAGTCTACCAGTAGTTCAAAATAATATGACATTTTAGTTTGCTTTCTATTTGGACCATGGCTTTCTTACCTGAATTTTGCTTTTCTAGAGTTTCTAGATACTTCTATGTTTTCTTATTGAGGAAAAAGATATTATTTCTTTCCCAAGTATTATACAGTTCCTTAGTCTTTGTATCTATTGCTTGGAATACATTCCATTATTCTCTGGAGACATTTTTCTTGGCGCCTACTGGTTAATTAATTTCTTGAACTACTGCACATTTCTCATCCTGGGGTTTTTTTTTTCCTATTTAGTTCCACATCCTCCCATTTCTGAGTTTATATCCTGGTTTTGTTGAATATCCTCAAGTAATTACCTCAGAACAGGTGCCTGGGAAATAAAATTTCTGAGTCTTTGGCTATTTGAAAGTGACTTTATGTTGACCTCATATTTTATTAATAATTTGACTAAAGATGGAATTTTAGATTCAAAAATCGTTTTCTCTCAGAACCATGGATGGTAAAATTTGGAATGAGAATATATTAGGCATTAAACTTACCTATAAGGTTTTATGGAGCCCTAGTGGCACAGTGATTAAGAGCTCAGCTGCTAACCAAAATGTGGGCAGTTTGAATTTACCAGCCGCTCCTTGGAAACCCAAAAGGGCAGTTCTACTCTGCCCTATAGGGTTGCTATGAATTGGAATCAACTCGATGGCAATGGGTTTGGTTTTTTTGGTTTTTGGTGTATATATCACATGATTTTATGTACATACTATGATTTTTATTTATTAAAATTAAAAATTGTAAGCATTCATCAGTTATCAAGCAGGGAGAAGAAAAGAAGACTACACTTAGCCACATTATTATAAAATTCCTGAAATAAGAAGGATAAAAATATCATATAAGCTTTTATTGAAGAAATTTAAAAGTAAATAAATAAATAAAAGAACAAGACTTTGACTGTCAGTAGACTTCTACCTGCCACCCAAAATGAATCAATATTAAATTTTAGATTCTTAGATCTTTTGTTTCTTAAAGGGATTTACAACCTTATTTAAAAAAAAAAAAAAAAAAACTGTCACCGTTGAGTTGGACTCATAGCATTCCTATAGGACAGAGTAGAACAGCCCCTTAGGGTTTCCAAGGAGCAGCTGGTGGAGTTGAACTGCCAGCCTTTTGGTTAGCAGCCAAGTGCTTAACCACTGTGCCACCAGGGCTCCAATATACATACTAGATGCTTTCAATTTAAAGACCCTCCTTTAACTTAGAGAACTAAAAAAATAAATAAATAATTTTCAGTTTTCTCTCCTTTTTTTCCCCCCCTTGCTCTCTCTTTCTGGAATTGGATCTGCGCTTCTCTTATCTTCCTCTTTTACCATCTTTTTTCTTTTTTGTTCTAAGTTCTGTGATATTTCCCCAGTTTTACCTTTTTTTCTTCAATTTATTTAAAAAATTACACCAGTCATATTTCTAATTTTCAAGAGATATTCATTTTTTCAGATTGCTTATTCTTATATTCTGTTCTTATTTCATGAATAAATGATTTTCTTCAATCCATCTAAAGATACTAATGACCAGATAGCTAGTCAGGTAAGTCCAATGACCCCATTAGACTTTCTGTTCATTTCCTTTCATCCACAGTTGCCTTTCTACCTTTTCCATTATTCATTCATTCACCAAGTACTTATGAGTGCCCACAATATACCAAGCACTGTTCTAGGTGCTAGGAGTGAATAAACAAAAAATTCCAACCATCATGGAGCTTGCATTCTAGTGGAAAAGAAATACAATTAATAAGATAAGTAAATAAAAATCATAGCTGTTGGATAGTGATAAATGCTAAGGAGAAAAAAAAAATTGAATAAAGACCTTAAGGGAAATGAATTAAATGCTGGCATCAGAGGGATAAGATTTCCAAGTGGAAATTCACAATTACATAGGTTCTGAGCTGAAGAGTGTTTGAGGAACAGCAAGGAAGCCACAATGACTGGAGCTAAGTGAAAGAGAGGCAGTGAGGTGCGAAAGGTAACTGAGAGCCAGATGTGAGGTTTTAGAGGAATAGGGATAAAATCAGTGATGATTCCAAGAGTGAGGCCTGAGCAACTAGAAGAATGTAACAGCCATTAACTGAGATGAGAAAGACTCAGCCATTAACTGAGATGGAAAAACAGTAGGAGGAGTAGGTTGTGGGGGATATATGTCAAGAGTTCAGTTTTGGACATGCTAAACTTGATATGTTGTATAGGAAGTTAGATATGCTCCTCTGGAGTTCAGGGGAGAGATGTGAGCTAAAGTTATACATTTGGTAGTCCTTGATATATATATGATATATGAAATTATTTTGAGAGGCAGTACAGATAGAATTCTAGAGAACAGGTTTCAGGACTGAGCCTTTGGGCACTCCAAGGGATTAGGGAGTTCAGAGAAATGAGAAGGAAACATCAAAGAACACAGGTGTAAGAAAGTTTATGGACAGCCAGGCCAAGTGCCTGGAAGCCAAGAGAAGGAAGTGTTTTAGAAAGAAAACATTGCTGTGAGTCAAAATAAGAGTAGGGCTGAGGACTGACCTTTGAATTTATTAATGAGGAGCACTTATTGGTGACCTTCACAAAGCAATTTTGGTGAAGTCGTGGTGAGGGTTACAGGAGAGGAAAATACCTGATTGGAGTAGGTTTAAGAGAAAAGAAAAGAGTATACGGACAATTATTTCAAGGACATTTGGAAAAGCAAGAAATAAGTAGTCAGAAACAGCCCTCAGAGAATGAGGGAAATATAGCTTAGTGAGTAAGAGTCCAGGTTCCAAAGCACTTAACTTTGCTCAATCTCGGTTTTCTCTTCTGCAAGGTGGGAATGATAGCAGTACTCAACTTCAGAGAGCTGTTAAGATTAAATGAGGTAATGTGGGTAAACACCTTAGTACCTAAGACATAAAATCTCTAGATTGTCCTTCCAGAGTGCTTCCATTCTGCAAGTTAGAGATTTGGCTTACTTATCAGACACTGACTCCGTTCTTCCCTAGCAACCCAGGTTTTATGCCTATGGACTTCCAACTTCCTTCTGCCCACACTAAGAGTAGTATCCTAACCTTTCTGGAACACATTCTAGGTCCTGCTTCCTATGCTTCCCTCTTATCAAAACTTCTTATACAAGCTCCCCTTTCTGCAGGAATTATGCTTGATTTGCTAGCACATTGTTAATATACCTGTTAAAGTAATTCATGCTCAGGTATTAAGTCTTTTAGTGGCACGCTATGTTACCCCTGCTAGTATTTGCATTTCATTTAGGTACTACAGCAATGGTGAAAATGATATGAAGTGACTATGGGTTTTTTATTTTGTTTTGTTTTTTCCATCTCTCAGCTCATTCATGTAGGTGACTGTCAACTTCATCTACAAGTTAGAGCAACTCTATGTCTTATCTTTCTTCCCAAATATGTGGTATTAAACATAAATTTCTTTAAACAGAATCATAGAGATATAGAATTAAAAGGGACTTTAGAGATTATCTAGACGGGAGGGTTTTAACTTTTTAAAGCAGCAAAATCCTTTTCTCAACTGAAATGTTATGTGGAAACTTAACATATAAATTAATAAAAGCACAGCTGATGTTCCTAAACCCTGAAATCGAAGCCACATAGGTCTCCCTTTGTAGTCTAGGGCAATCCCCTGAGGGCACTTGCATGGAACCTTGAGGGCTCCCCAGAGTGCTGTTTTAAAACCACTAATTTAGACGAACTCTTTCATTTTTCCAGCTGAGGAAATAGGCTTAGAGAGTTTGTGTTTTATCCAGCTTTACAGGGTAAGTTACTTGGAATAAGAACAGTCCTCACATGTGTCATACTTAGGAAAATGCTATTAGACAAGAGTGAAAGTTATTATTTCTGATGCAAATAACTTTTGCCATCTCATTTATTTTCATCAGCAAACATTTATTTGGTATACCTAGCACATATACAATATTTTCTATGGCTGTAATTGACACAAAGAAACATGAGACATAGCCCTCTGCCTTAGGGAACCAAGTAGCCTAATTGAGAAGCTAAAACATGCTGTTGAAAAGTTAAAAACAGAATTTAAAATACAACTTCAAGAGTTGAGATGTAATAAAGCAGTGTGGAATTAATTGAAAATAAATGATAATAAGCATTGTTGGAGCTCAGAGGAGGATGTAGCTACTCCATTTGGGCTAGAGAATATTTTAAAGAAGTGGTATGATTGAGCTAGGTAGGACTGGGATAAGTAAATAGGTGAAAGGCAATGTAATATTGTGAATAAGAGTAGAGCTCTGTTTGAATTCCACCTCCTTCACTTACCTCTCTGTAATCCTGGGCAAATTATTAACCCCTGAGCCTATTGCTTCATCTGCAAAATGCAGGTGTATATTAATTAAGGAAACATTAATTGGTGTAACAGATGAACCTCAACATTTCAGTGGTTTATCAGCACAGAAGTTTATTTCTGTCGTATCAGTGTCCATGTCAGATAGCTTTCCGTGGGGTCACCCAGGGACCTGGGTTCCTTGTTTTGGCTTCTACTTCCTCTAGGTCCTTGGAATTTTCTACATTTAGTCAGCAGTGGGGAAAGAAAGAGTGAATTCCACTAGGGAGGTTTTTAGGGCTAGATGTGAAAGTGGCATATAACACTGTATTGGCCAAAACTTAATCACAAGCTATATCTAAACACAGAGGATGTAGTTAAGTTGTGTGCACAATTTGGAAAGGAAACAAGTTTTAGTGAACACTTAGAGGTCTGCTACCACACAGAGTTGTTGGGAAGATTGGATAAAGTAACATATGTCAAGTGCTTAGTACAGTGTATGGCATACTGAAGTATTTAAATATCGTTTTTAAAGGATAGTGAACTTTATATAATGTTTTGCTGAGTACAGATAATTAACTACAGTTCTGTTTTAACTTCCTTTTGGGAGAGGTATCAATTAATTTTTGACTGTTGGTCAAAATAATGATAATAACTAATATTAAAAATAATTCTTCTTAGTAAATTCTTTGTTTCTTTTTCTTTTAGCACGGTGTTATTGCTACAGAAGATGAAGAATATTTTATTGAACCTTTAAAGAATACCACAGAGGATTCCAAGCATTTTAGTTATGAAAATGGCCATCCTCATGTTATTTATAAAAAGTCTACCCTTCAACAACGGCATCTGTATGATCACTCTCATTGTGGGGTTTCGGGTGAGTAAGTGTGTGGCTTTTAGAAAGTGTATTACATTGTATTGCTGCTTTCTCTTTCTTCTGGCAGATATGGTAAGGTTAATAGTAGAAGTATGTAGAAATTTGAATGATTAAAATTAGAGTCCAGAGTCCTCTTAAAAGATATCACCTAAACCAATTTTCTCAAGTCAATTTTGGAAGATCTTTGGGAAATCTTTAAAATATAGGTCTTGTAAAATTTGAGGGGAAAAAACCTCTGATTTTATCCAGGTAATAGTTACAGCTTCATGCAGAGGTGTTCATAGTCATCTACTTCAGTGCTGCTTGGTTAACCTGATATTTTCATGCTAGTACCAAGAATCCAGATACTTGAATAAGACAAAGAATCTTAAGGTAATATTCCAAGGCAGTGATATCATCAAGTTAGGGTACTATAGGAATGCCTAGTAGAGACAACAAACCTAAACTTCAGCGGTCAAGGAAGGCATCCTGGAGGAAGTTGATTCTAAGTTGAGGTCCAAGAGATGAGAAGAGGTAGCTGGGCAAAAGGGAGAGGTAGCTGGGGTTAGAGTGTTCCACAAAGAAGAGACCCCATTTACAAAGCTTCTGATTCAAGAGAGAGCATGTCACATTCTAGGTATTAAAAGTTCACATGACTGGGTATTAAAATGTAGGTTGAAGTGATAGGGCTTGAGGGAGTTGTGAGGGACGAAGCTGTAGATAAGAAGAGGGCTAATCATGAAGGGCTTGTAAGCTATGTTAAGGAATTTGTTTATCTTAAGGGCACTGGAACCCACTGAAAGGTTTTAAGCAGGAGAAATGACATGATCAGATTTTTTTTAGAAAAATTACTCTGGCATTAGAGTGTAGAGACTGAATTAGAGAAGAGCAAGACTAGAACAGGAAGAACAGTGAGAAAACTTAGAGGAATACGGGATATAGTAGTGCATAGTGGAAAGAACATGGGCTGTGGTGTGGCTTTGGACAAATTATCCAATCTCTCTTAGTGATCCTCTCAGTGCCCAGGACACATTAGTTAGTCAGACTGCCGCTATCATTATTATTAGGATGGCTGTTTCCCATATTTGAAGGGCTATTACTTAAAAAAGAGATTTAATTTGTTCTACATGGAACCAGGGGCAAAGTGTTTCAGAAATAAGGAGAAAAGAAATGGATCAGAGAAGTGAAAATGATCAAAAGAATAGAAATTAAATCCTGTATTTATACATTTAAGCTGTCCAACAAGGGGAAGAGAAGACTGGGGTGACTTGAATATATGCATGGTTTTATGATGAGGGTGATCACAGAGGACTGAGCAGGAGAAACTGCAATTATATTAATGCAAAAAAATTTTTTTTGCTGGTACATAGCAATATTACCAAAAACCTAATGACTCGAGCAACACACTTTTATTAACTCACAGTTTCTTTGAGTCACGAGTCTGTGCACGGCTGGGCCTTCTGCTTAGGATTCACAAGGCTGAAATCAAGGTATTAGCCAGGGCTGAGTTCTCGTCTAGAGGCTTGACTGGAAAAGAATCCACTTCCCTACTCCTCTGGTTGTTGGAGCACTCAGTTGCTTGCTGTTGTAGAATTGAGAGTTTTAGTTTTTGGTTGATTGCCTGCCTGTAGTTTCTTGCTATGTACTACATGGCTGCTTGCTTCCTCCAACCCAGCAAGGGAGAGACTTTAGTAAGACAGGGGCTATAATAGTATGTAATGTACCCATATACCTGTAATCACTTACGGCTTTCATCTTTGCAGTATTTTGTTAGTTATAAGCAAGTCACAGGTCCTAACCACACTCACAGGGAGGCATACAAAGGTGTGAGCATCAGGTGGCTGGGTTCATGGCAACCACCTTAAGAGTCTCTCTGCCAATTGGAATAAGGAGATACTTTCTGACTGTCTTGGGGATGTACCATTGAAATAGGAAGTGGTATGTTTCTGCCTCTATTGACCTTTAGGAATAAAGACACTCATTTAATTTACATAAGTTTCAGTAGTATTTAACTAATACTTCTTGTGGTCATTCCCATCTCCTATTTCTTAAAATTTATAACACTTACCCAGATTCAGTCTTTAAAAGGGAGAAGCTAAAGACGTTAGAAAAATAGAGAATAGTGCCATTCTCTGACAAGTGTATCATATATATTGATCTAATTTTTCCTCACTAAATTTCTCAGTAAGTGGAGATGAGAAAGATTTCCTGTCCAATATAAATATAATGAAAGTGAAGTATGCGGAGCGCTTCTACCTATAAGATGTATATAAATGGGGCAGGTATTTGCAAATGTCATAGTACTAAAAGGTTTTCTCTGTACTGAAGGACCAACTGTCTAAACAATAAAGGATAAACTACAATCCATACTAAAATGTGGGTTAAAGCAAGTTGTGCTGGAATCATGATCTTTCCACTCATTCCAGTGCCACTTCTAGACTTTGGAAAAGGAATACTTTGGGTACTATTGTCAGTATAAATAATTGTAAACTGCAAAATTAAGTGAAAAAAATAATTCAAAGTCTTTTATAATTGTGATTTCTAGAGCAATAGAATTGGCTATCATTAAAATCTTTTAATAAAAGCATCTTACTTTCAAATAAAGGCTCAAAAGCATCTTAGGAATAGATTTTTGCAGCATCAATGTTCTCTATCAGAACTGTCTTAGGTTGTTTTTAAAGTTAATGATCTAGTTGCTTTTTAAACAACTTTAAATTTTTTTTAGCATATATTCTAATTTTAGAAGTATTATAATTGTTCACTGTAATATGGAGTGATTATTTGAAAAAAATTTAAGTAATTTCTTAGATTTTTTTTGTTTTCTTGAGCAGTTGAACATTACTAATGTTTAATATGATTTCAGATGGCATGATTATTTTGAAAATTATAAAAAGAGTTTATTTTCACTACTGCATTATCTCTTCCCCTTCCTTTCTTTTGAAAAATCTTAATATGTTAAGAGACTTAATGAGAAGCACATCTGCATGAAAGATTTATAAATAAATAAGCATAATTAGTGAACGCATCTGAATTGGTTGTTTTTATTGTAGATCTCACAAGAAATGGCAAACCTTGGTGGCTGAATGATACATCTGCTTTTACTTCTTCACTACCAATTGATGACACATATATCCACCACAGACAGAAAAGATCAGTAAGCACTGAGCGGTTTGTGGAGACATTGGTTGTGGCAGACAAAATGATGGTGGGCTACCATGGCCGGAAGGACATTGAACATTACATTTTGAGTGTAATGAATATTGTAAGTTTGATCCCTCTATGTAATACTGTACTTAATAGTTTGTTGTGGTTATTTATTAATGTCATGGATTTTTATTGCAAAATACAGTTGATTCTCATTATTCCCAGATTCTGTATTTGCAAATTTACCTTCTTGAAAAAATTTATTTGTAATCCTAAAATCAATACTGGCAGTCCTTTTGGGGTCATTTGCAGACATGTACATGCACAGAACTGTGAAATACTCGAGTTGCCCAATGGGCACATTCTCTGCTGAGATTGAATAAGACTGGTTTGGTGTTTGCTAATTCAGTGTTCATAGTGATTTTATAGAACATAACTACCTGGAATAATGAGAATCAATTGTGTATAATGATTTTAAGAATTTACTAGCCTAAAGTGAGAAATAACTGATCTATTAATGTTTCAGTTCTATAGAAAATAAATTTAAGGGCAACCTTACTGTCCATTTTCAGATAAGACTTTTTGAATGGGCTGGGTTAAATCTTGTTTTTGTTATCTTAAAACATCAACTCACCTTCTAATTACTATATTATATATAGTTTACCTCTAGGAGAAAATATTTCTTGAGGTAGACTTGTATAACAAACCTTTATACCAAGATGTTTTGAGGGTTAAATTCTAAGTGACATGCACACTGGTTAAATTCATTAAAAAATTGTATTACTACTCTTTAAAAAAAAAAAAATCATGCTATCACTTTATGATTTTTGTCTGACTTTGTGTCTTTTCTTATTTTCTGGAGGTCAGGTTGCCAAACTTTACCGTGATTCCAGCCTAGGAAACGTTGTGAATATTATAGTGGCCCGCTTAATTGTTCTCACAGAAGATCAGGTAAGAGTGAGTTCATTTCTTAATCTAAAATTATAGAATTATGTATTATAAAAGAATATATTTTATTATTGATCCTCCTAGGAGGTTTTAATTGAGTGTGATTTTCAATTCTAAGCATTCAATATTTTAAGCAAGATTTAAATAGTTTATAAGAATATACTATGTAAAAGCTATGTATATGTATATTAGCTATATATCTCAGTATAAGGATGAATATTTACATTGCAAACTATAATAATGGTTTTGGTTGGTTTCATATGCTGATAACTCACATACAGTCACATTATTACAGATGGAACTGGAAAGAATGTCTGTTCAGTAATACACTAAGTGAACTCTAGGTCAGATTTTACAGAGATAAAAATTGGCAAGAGATTATTCCTAGAAACTACTGCTTCTAATTATAGTCCCATTTTAGTCTTCAAAAGTTTTAACAACTGACCTTAGTAATTTGTTTGGAACATTTCTGGTATGCATGTTGTATTGCAGCCAAACTTGGAGATAAACCACCATGCAGACAAGTCCCTCGATAGCTTCTGTAAATGGCAGAAATCCATTCTCTCCCACCAAAATGATGGAAACACCATTCCAGAAAATGGGATTGCCCACCACGATAATGCAGTTCTTATTACTAGGTATGGTTTGTTGCAAGTATTTTTCCTTTGTTTGTTGCGTTTGTTCTATATGGTAACTATATTTGGCTCTATCTAAAGCCTCATTCAGGTGATGAGTATAGAAAAAGCAAAATGATAATTTATTATTCACCTCTGAGAAAGAATGTGTTACACCATTACTGTGTTTACCAAATGAGAAAAAAGAGAAGATTAAGATCAGACTTAGAAATTTAATAAATATCTTTCCTTCTATTGATAAAATCTATTCATAAGATATAATTGGAAGCACATATACAATTTGTTAGTTGAACAAAATACATACTAAAAACATAATTTAAAAGTATGGGAAAATATATATTTAAAAAATAAAAAGAGTTATTACTCTTGGTTGTAAAATATATAAACTATTCTTACTCCCAAGGTATGTTAAAAGTGAAAGAGCAGGGCTTAAACCCAGCTGATCCTGTGCTCTTTGATTATACTATGCTATCTGTTTTAGTATTTTTATTCTCTAATTGTTTTTGGTTAGAAAGATTATGCTTAAATCATTTTTAGATAAGTGTACCTTTTGACCTCTTATCTCTACTTTAAAATAGAAACAAAATAAAACAACAAACAAACAATAAGCAAAATGGAAGCATTGTTCTCTCTTGGCTAAATGGAATAATAACCTTTGTTTTCTTCATTTTTTTTTAATTTGCAAGGCCATATTTAACATATATTTCACTGTGGTGGGCCTGTTGATGCTACACTAAGCTCTATGGAGGAAGTGTAAAGTACAGTCAATCCTCATTATTTGCAGATTCTATATTTGCAAATTCATCTATTTGTTAAAATTAATTTGTAACCCCAAAATCAATACCTGTGGCGCTTTCATGATCATTTGTGAACATATGTAGAGTGTCAGAAAATTTGAGTCACCAGACATGCAAGTTCTTAGCTGAAGTTGAACAAGGCGACACTCTGCCTTCTTTTTCAGCCCTCATACTGTAAACAAGTGTCCTTTTTGCTGTCTGTTTAGTGCCACATTTCTCACATTTTTGTGCTTTTTGTTGGGGATTTCACTGTTTAAAATGGCCCCAAGCATAGTGCTAAAGTGCTGTCTAGTGTTCCTCACAAGAAGGCTGTGATGTGCCTTAGGAAGAAAATATGTGTGTTAGATAAGCTTTGTTCGGGCATGAGTTTTAGTCTTTTTGACAATGAATTTAATGTTAATGAATCAACAGTATTATATATGTTAATTTTTTTATTTTACTTTAGTTGAAGGTTTACTGAGCAAACTAGTTTCTCATTAAATGACTAATATGCATATTGTTTTGTGACATTGGTTACCAACCCCACGACATGTCAACATCCTCCGCTTCTCGACCTTGTGTTCTCCATTACCAGCTTTCCTGTCCCCTCCTGCCTTCTTGTCCTTGCCCCGGGGCTGGTGTGCACATTTACTCTTGTTTCGTTTTATGGGCCTGTCTCATCTTTGGCTGAAGGGTGAACCTCAGGAGTGACTTCACACTGAGCTATAAGGGTGTCCAGGGTCTTACTCTCAGGGTTGCTACAGTCTCTACCAGACCAGTAAGTCTGGTCTTTGTGTGTGTGTGTGTTAGAATTTTGTTCTACATTTTTCTCCAGCTCTGTCCAGGACCCTCTATTGTGATCCCTCTCAGAGCAGTGAGTGGTGGTACCCAAGAACCATCTAGTTGTGCTGGTCAACAATATATATTCAACAATGTGTCTTTAAACAGAAACACACATAAATCAAGATTATATATTGATTGGTTGACAAAAATGTCATGACCAGAGGCTTGCAGGAAACTAACTCTGTGTTTTCCCATAGAGCAATGGTTCAGTATTCACTAATTTAGTGTTTTTGGCTACTTTTGAGAACATAACTACTATGAATAACGAGAACTGACTGTATATGGGATTTGAATCTTGAGACCCAGTAAAAAAGTGTGACTTCAGCTTTTAGAAAAATTTACTTGTTAATTGAATTTTAGACTTTCTGAGCTTATTTTATTTTTTTTTTTACTGTTACACTTTCTTTAGTTGGCTTTATCTACCTGGAATCATAAACCAGAAATTTTTGTTTATAACATGCTTGCTGAATAAAAACAACATTGTATAGTTCTATATTCATATGTGTTGACATGTCAGTCTGATAAATGCTGTAATTCCTTAGAGTCTTGTGGTCTGGAATGATCCACGAATATACTTAAAGAATTTTAAAACATACTAGAAATTGTACAAGTGTAGAAACCTTTATGTAAAAATATATAGGCATATGATTGGTGTCAGTGAGATTATCAAAGGAAAATGTCTATTATACATGATTAACAAAATGATTACAGGTTTCTGTATTTATATTTGTAAAAGCCTACCTCTCCTCAAAAACTTAACACACAGTGCTCCTGATACTTCACATTTTCATTATTGATTCTGCATTGAATTTTTAACTTTTGCATCAAATGACAGAAGTTACACGAAGGGTGCAGATTTATAAGTATTCACATAATGAAATACATTACAGCTGGGCAGTTAGCCACCATTTCTTTCCACTCTCTGCAGCATTCAGCTGTCTGATTTGTTACTTTGAATTAGTCCAGGTATTTTTCTGATCCTCTGCAGAGTTCTTCTTTGCCTGTCTGTAAGCTATTCTCAGTGCCACCTTCTAACATTTTATGCTTAGAATTTAACATAAAATTTTAGTTTTAAACATGTCTCCTAATGGCCAGACTAGTACTAGAAATGATCCCAAGATTTAACAGGGCAGTAGTTCAAAGAGTTCGTATCTCATATTATTTTGGATTGGTTATTTAATGGAGGTTAGAAAATGTCTCTTGATGCATTTGGTACTTTTTACATGATTACTTGATGATAACCCAATGAATTTATATATTGGTTTCCAGTTTTATAAAACTGTATTCAGATTCATTTTCTATCTAATTCTCCAACAACAACTTCGTGAAGTAGATATCATTGTTATTATTTTTCCCATGTTAGAAATGAGGAAACTGGTTCAAAATAGTTAAGTAACTTGCCCAAGATCATTCAGCTAATAAGTGAAAGAGCAGGGCTCAAACTCAGCTGATCCTGTGCTCTTTGATTATACTATGCTATCTATTTTAGTATTTTCTTCTTTAATTAGGATGCATTAGAAACATGCTGAAATAATTTTCAGGTAAGTGTGCCTTATGACCCCTTATCAGTAATTTAAAATACAAACAAAAAAGCATAGAGTGCTTTTTTTGGAATTGTCATTAAAGTCTCAAAGTAAAAATCTACAGTTGATCTTTGAATTATTAGGACCAAAGAGTGGTCCTAATGAAATGGCTGTCATCTTTAATATTTAACTCCATTACCATTGAGTCAATTCCGACACATAGCAACCTTATAGGACAGAGTAGAACTGCCCCATAGGGTTTCCAAGGAGTAGCTGGTGGATTTGAACTGCTGACCTTTTGGTTAACAGCCAAGCTCTTAACCACTGTACCAGCAGGGCTCCTTAATATTTAAATACAGTTTTATTTATTTATTTATTTTTTAGGGTTACCAGCTCTTGACTATTCCTTATATATGTTTGATTTGTGGAACTGAACATATGTTTAAATCATATTGCTACTTTTAGTAAAAATAATTATGAGAATTCCACAGCTGATTTTATATTAATGTTGAAAATTGCTTCATATAATTCACCCCACCAACAGAGGTAAGATCATGATTTATGTTTGCTTGATTGTCAGCTCACTAGGGAGAATTTATAATGAGTTTATTGAAAATTCCAGAGGAAACCTGATGGGTATGTTTGTCTCCACAAGGCCAGATTTTATCTTACGAATTTAAATATTTTAAGCAGAAACCGTTTGGAATTGTATCGTTTAGTTAATAATGTTACTTTCAAAAAGAAGTATAAAAACTTGAAATGTTATCTGCTCATAGTAAATGAAAAAACTCTTCAAAAATTATTTATATATATATGTATATAGTTTTATTTATATATACGTATTTTATATGTACATATATATGTGTGTGTATAAAATAATGAACATCTGTTATCTACCACTGAGTTTTATCAAATCTTAATATTATACTGTATGAAAGACCAGCTTCGTGCCACTTTCTAAAATGTTATTTAATCACTTCTCTATGGTACATGAACTACCAGACATCTTAACTCTCAATGATAGAGCTAGTGCTATAAAGTATAAATTTGTAGAAATATGTCAATATGAAATAAATATCAATAGTGGAATAATGAAAAAATTTTCATTTTTGTAATCTGTTTTTAGTCAAGATATCAGTAATAGTAACTTGTATTGATTCCTTCAATAGACTAGATCTGTTGGAATTATTTAACAATTACTAATATTCATTAATGGAATCCCTTGGTGACACAAATGGTTAAGAGCTAGGCTGCTAACTGAAAGACTGGCAGTCAAGTCCATCTAGAGGCACCTTGAAAGAAAGTGATCTACTTCTGAAAGATCAGCCATTGAAAACCCTATCGATCACAATCCAACTCCGACATACCTGAGGTCACCATGAATTGGAATTGACTCAAAAGCAACTGGAAAAATGTTCATCTAAATCAGATTGATGTTTAGTAACTTTTTAAAAATAGTGGAATATGTCACTATATAACTATTCAGGTGAGAAATAATTAATGCTTTGGATTGTAATTGAAACTCTACAAACAGAATTTAAGAAGGTTGAATAAGACTGTGTGATGGTTAAGATTGTGTGTCAACTTGACTGGGCCATGATTCTCAGTGTTTTAATGTGATCACTCCCATGATTGACTATACTTTGAGTAGCCAATCAGATGAAAGGGAGTCTCCTTGAGGGTGTGGCCTGCATCTGAATATAAGCAGATGTTCTGGCTTTTTGCTCACCCTGGATCCTGCGGCTGCCTCCTGTCTTCTCAACTCTGGTTCTTGGGACTTGAGCTGTCAGCTTACCTGCCGAACTTGGGATTCGTCAATCTTCACAGCCTGTGAGCGGAGCCCTGCTCTCTAACCTGCTGA